AGGTTAGGGCATCGTAGCACTGACCAGTAATCCTAGCAGCCAGGATGCTGAGGCAGGAAGACTGCTGCCAAGTTAAAAGCCAGCCCTGGCCACATAGTTTGAAGGAAGCATGAATTACATTGCAAGATTGTATCCCAAAACCCAAACCAATAAAAATAGAAAATGTCTGTTCAAGAATGTATACATGAATGTTCATAGTGGCACTATTTTTTATGGTAAGCTATAGAAACAACCCAAAAAATAAAATAAAATATAGTATACTTGGAGTATTAGTAACCAAAACATTGAAATAACTGATTTACCCAACAAACTTTGAAGACATTATGGTAAGTCAGAGAAGCCAATCACAAATGTGACCATGTATTATATGAGTCCATTAAATGAAATGTCCAAATTAGGCAAATCCATACATAAAAAATAAGTAAAACTTTTTTCAAGTTACTTTGTTTAAAAAGCAAGACAATTGCAACCAAGGAGAAAAAGAAAAATGAGCTCCTACAGAAAACTGTTATTACACCCAATTTTGAAAAAAATTATTCTGTCCTACCATATAGTGAATCAAAGCGTCAACTTCAGAAAAAATGCAGGAAACAGCGACAAAAAACTGCAGGTGATGGTTGGTTTGGTATGAAAGCTCCAGAATTGACAGATGAACTTAAAAATAATCTCAAAGCTCTGAAGATGAGAGCAAGTATGGACCCAAAAAGGTTTTACAAGAAAAATGACCGAGATGGCTTCCCTAAGTACTTCCAGATTGGCACTATTGTTGATAATCCAGCTGATTTCTACCATTCACGAATTGCCCATTCTTTTAGATACTGATACTTCTATTTGAGGTGGAGATTATACTAAAATGTACTACCAGCTATCATGGTTCTTTAAGTATAACAAGCACCTTTATAAGCATCAGTTTTATACTATGCTGTAATTTTTTTTTTTAAATAGAACTTTGGGTGATCTAAAATAGAATCCTTTTGCCCAGGAATCCTTCAATTCTGGGTTTTCTTGGCTGGGACTTCTCTCTGTAAGCTTTTCTCAGCCTCCTTTCCCAACTGTGCTTTTCATATGCTGTCAGTTATAAGCAGAAAGAGCTGGAGGTTGCTAGGGAAACCAGTATTCATACTGTTAGACTGGGAGAGTCTTACGTGCACTTTTTAGTTGGTAAGCTTTGGTCTCAAGCACTTGTATACCCGCCTTCAGGATTACATGCTTAGGTTTTGAAAGGGATAATTTTCTTTGGTTGGTTGGTTGATTTTTCTTTTTTATCTTAAAGAGAAAAAAAATAATTTCAAAACAAGGTAATAAGAGAGTAACAATGAGTAATACATTGCATATTGTTACCTTTAAGTTAGTTGTTCAGAATATGAGCTATCAGCATTTAATTGTCCGAGCAATATCAGCACAAGCCTTTCTTTTCAACGAACTAAGTTAAATTAGTAGTATCCCCATCTTAACTATCATAGAGATATAGATAGAGAGAGAGAGAGAGAGAGAGAGAGAGAGAGAGAGAGAGAGAGAGAGAGATTTGCTTTTCCCTTTGTTCTCCTCTCCCATTTCCCCATCCCAGGTGCTCTTTCCTTTGGAAGTTTCTTCCCATTTTACAATATTTATTGTACATTTTGGATCTTACTTACTCATCCAGCTCCTCATACTAGAAAGACAATACAATGTTTACACATGGACATGTTTATTTCACTTATGAATATGGTCTCAAATTGCATCTACTTACCTATGAAAGTTTCCAGTTTAGAGCCATGGAGGTAGCTCAGCCCTTGGCTAGGCAAGTGCAAGGACCTGGGTTTGATCCCCAGCAGTACCATGTGCCGTGCCAGCCCCACCCTGGGCGTGACAAGCTGGCCACCAAGACCTGGCATGGTGGTGCATGCCTGTAATCCCAGCACTGGGGAGGCTCAAGCAGGAGATTCATTATGAGTCTGAGGTACATAGTGAAACCCTCTGCCAAATACATTTAAAAAAATTTTTTTTGAAGGTTCCAGGGACTGGCCAGATAACTCAGCAGTCTAAAGTGCCTACTTAGGCAAGCTTAGACAGGCAGAAGGGACCATGGTTAGATCTCTGGCCCCACATGCCTTGCCAGCCCAGCCCTCGGGGCAGGCTGAGCCCACCAAAAAAAAGAAAAACGTTCCATTTTATATGGCAGAGTAGTACTCCATTGTATAAAAAGACTACATCATTTTTATGCATTCCTCAGTTGATGGGCATTTGGGTTGTTTCCAAGATCTGGCTGTTACAAATTGTGCCACTACAAACATGGGTACACGTATATCGCTAAGGTATGATGTTTCTAATTCTTATGGGAAGAGACACAGCAAGGAAATAGTTGAGTCAAATGGGAGCTCCGGCCCTAGTTTTCTGCGCAGTCTCCACAGATTTCCACAGTGGCTGTCCTGGCCTGCTCTCCCCCCAACATGGAGAGGAGTTCTTGTCTTCTTTGGTTAAAGCCTTCAGTTTTGATCTTTGGCTGTATGTTTCACATAAGTCTAAAAGTGGAGGATATTTAAGAACTGAGTACCAGATAACTAGGACAGTTCAGAGAAGTTAACAGATTGGAAGGGACCTTTTCCTGTTATCTCCTGCCCTCCACCCTGACACTTGACGTTAGCCGGAGTGCTGCTGCATCTGTGCAGCTGGACCGCCCCCAGTGCCATAAGCACGCATCTGCCCGTATGCGCCGCCCACAGAAGGCTGTCCTTCCTTTACAGAGACACCATGGACAGTTTTCGTAGTTCCTCAGTGAATTGTGGTTTTCCTTTGTACCATTTTTAGGAGATCAGCTTGTCCTTTTGGGGAAAAAAAAAACCTTATAAGTTAGAGAAGAAAAAATTAGATGGGCAGTGAAATGAGATGAAACCTCATGAATAAAACTTTGTGAAGAAAAAAAACTGAAATCTTTGCAGGAGAGTGTCAAACATTCAGGAGTTTATCAGAGAACTTTTTATTCTTACAGTTATTCTTAATCTGGAAATATTTTGCAGCCAAATCTGCCATGTACTGAGCACGTAACATTTGATATGGAAAGACTCACCAGAACCCAAGCGGTTAACCGAAGATCAGCCCTAGGTGACCTTGCTGGAGACAACGCCCTTGGGCTTGAGCCACTTCGAACTTCTGGGATCTCACCTCTTCCTCAGGATGGGGAGCTCACCCCCAGAGCGGGAGAAATCAACATTGCAGTAACAAGTAAGTGCCCCCAAGCTCCAGGCAGCATCACTGCTTGTGCTGGGCATGCTGTAACTGTGACTGTCAAGAGGAGCCGCGGCCCCTGGGCCAGCAGCTCTGAAAGGGGAAAGCGAGATGCACGGCTGGTTAGTCAGGTGTTTGGAATCACAAAGCTTGCTTTATTGTAAGGAACTGGTGTGTTTTTATATCATTAACAGGAATAACTGGACTTGAAGAGTAGTCATTCAGAGGTTTGTTTCAGCCACTGTGTTATAAGCGTATTTTGAAATCTTCGCCTTTTAAAGGGCCTCACTGAGATGTGAGCTAAGCCAGCAGCAGGCTGGCATGTTGCGTCACGGGCTCTGCTTCTGCCAGCTTCCAGGGTGCAGGCAGCTTGCTAGAATTTTAGCCTGAAAACTCAAGGCTGCAGGGACAGTTGGGATGGGCTGTCCATTGCTCACTTTACCTCGTACTCTTTACTTGACAGTTTAGTCTGTTGCTACTTAATCTTGGCATAAGTGTACTTCAGGGGGGAAAGCCGAACTGTAGTCTGCCCTTAAAGAAAAATGTTATGGACTAGTTAGGCAGATCTTGACTGTTGAACCATTGAGGCAGAAAAGAAATGCACAAGTGCTTTTGAGGGCAGTGCCCAGGCATGTGTGAGTGGGCGAGGCGTGTATGGCCAGCAGCATGAGTGGGAGCTGTAGGCATCCACCCTTCACAAGTCGGCTCTCCTCTTCAGCTCCATTCTTTACGTGCATTCTAACAGCCTTTCACCTCCTCTCGCTGCCTCTCTGGTACTGCCTTCTCCAGTGTACGCTGTTGCTTGCCTAGAGCCTCGTGCCCTGAAGCTGATGGGGCTCCGCTCACCCCTGGGAGTCAGTAAGTGGGAGGAACAGGCTTATGGAGTAGGTGGCTCTTCACATATCAAGACTCATGCGGTCTGTCCAACTGAAATACATGCATTTAACCAGCTGGAGATGATTCTTAGAAAATGACCTCCTGTGTGTTACTTTATCTATTATCTAAACTCCAAGAGCCTCCATTCAGTTATAATAAAATTAGTCTTTGCTACTTTGGCTCATTTCTTACTATTTGCAATGATTTGTTTCAACAGTATTTCTCAGTTTTCTTACTGTAGCATTTAGATTTTATGGTCTGCATTTTTAAAAATTGACCCTAGACGGGGCCTGCCCCTTAGCTCAGTTCTTTAAGTGGCTGCTTCAACAAAGCAGTCAGGCTCAGGTTGCTGTGGTTCGATCCCCACAACTCAAGCCAGCCAAACCTGCCCTGAAGGCATTCGGAGAAAAAAAAAAAAAAAATTTGACCCTAGAAGTCACAAAAGAGACAAAAGGTTGTTTATTGAGTTCTTGTTAATCCTTCATTGATCATACATTTATTGAGCACCTACTATTACGTTAAATACATTTTATGTAGAAATGTTCTATTAAATTTTTGATGATAAAGAAGTATCATCTCATCTTGGTACCACATGCCGCGCCGGCCCTGCCCTGGGTGTGCAGAGCCTGCAGCTGAGCCTGGGTGTGGTGACACACACCTGTAATCCCAGCTCTGGGGAGGTTAAAAACAGGAACGTCACTACTAATCTGAGCTGCAGTGAAACCCTGTACTAAATAGATAAAATTTGAAACAAAGAAATACTACTTCGTGTACCAAATCAGTTGTCTTCAGCAGAATTTATATGTGGTTCCATAAATAAAATCCATAGGATTAAACTCAACCCAAGCTAGTGCTCATTTCCCCTCCAAGCCCCTACAGTGCATAACAACATGATGCCGTCAGCCAGCACCCACTGTGTAACGGCACTGTGCTAAATAAGGAGCAGAGGCTGGGGCTGGCCAGGCCCGACTCCAGATCGCTGTGAACAAGTCTGCGCCTGAGAGTGCTCGGATGGTCTTTCTTCTTCTTCTTCTTTTTTTTTTTTTTTTTTTTTTTTTTTTTTTTT